GCCGCCTGCTCAGTCCTGCCTTTTTCCTGGCCTCCGTGGTCCTGGGATGTGTTTTCAGCGGGACGGGCGGCTGTGCTTCTCCGTGGGTTGCCTCCCTCAGGCTGTGTCCCTCTGGGCTGTCACTGTTACTGCAGCGCACCGCCCCCTGCTCCGCGTCAGTCCTTCCTCTCCGGTGAACACTTGCCTGCGTTCTGTTCCCACAGTGAAGTCTGCTGAGCCACGCGCTGTCCCAGACCGTCCAGCTGTGGTCTCTTGCCCAGGAAGCAGCTGCGCTGTGTGCTCCGCCCACCCCCACGCTTCCCCTGCCTCTCGCTGTTGTCTTTGCCTTCGACGCGGCCCTGCCCGGCCCTGCCCGGAGCGCAGTGGTCTTCTGTCTCCTGACAGTGACCTCGCCCCCGCGTGGCGTGTCGTGTCGCCCCTCCCCCACCCTGTTGGTGCCTGCCCGGCCCTGCCCGGAGCGCAGTGGTCTTCTGTCTCCTGACAGTGACCTCTCCCCCGCGCGGTGTCGTGTCGCCCCTCCCCCACCCTGTTGGTGCTGAAGGCCAGGTGGCGGGTCCGAGGGGGGCCCACAGAGGCCGGTTCCCGCTCCGGGAGCCACCTGGACAGGGAGAGAGGCTTTGAAAACCTTTGCCTGCTTTTGGATTTTATGATACATTTTTACAAAGTGTGTGTTCCCTTTGTGCTTTAGTTCTGGGCCACGTTTTTAGCTTTATTTACCCTCCTGGGTGTGGTAAGGAGTGCCTGAGCGGTGCCCATGGGGTGCTGCCCGCGGCCTCAGCGCAGAGGCCTTGGTTTGTGGGCGGGGCTGTGGGTCTGTCTGCCCGGCAGCTCTCTCCAGCTCACACACACACACTCCGAGGCGGGTCTGACAGTGGCTGCCTCTGCCTTTCTCGTGATATTTGATATTCAGCATTTTAAAGAGGAAACGATGTCAGGGTAGAAATGTGTCCAGGTCATTTCCAGTGTGAGCACCACCAGGTCAGAGGGTGCAGCTCCTGCTGCTTCGGTGTGTGTGTGTCCCCCGAGAAATGACGGGAGCCGCTAGGACAGGACCCGCGTCCTGCGAAACCTCTCCTGCTCCTGCAGCCCCGGCACCTCCTGCGGCGGCTCTGAACCCGCGAACCGGATTCCCAGTGGAACGGGCTTGGGTGCTACTCCTCGCGGTCGGTTCTGTCCTTCGTTCCTAGTTGGCAAAGTAAGTGTTTGCCAAGCGCTGCCACGTGTTCCTAAGGGACCGGTGTGACCATGCGGTGGGTCCTGCTGTAGACCCTCTTCCCGTGGGTGGGCGAGGGGCCGACACAGCCCTCCCTCCACGTACGTTTGCTCTTAGATTTCTGTGCGTCCTTCCCACTGCTCTGGCCTGTGGCATCCTGTCGTGTTAGTGCACAGGTAGGAAAGCCAGGTAGCGTACGGATATTGAAGGACTTCACAGGCGCAATTCGTGAATTAAATGAGGTTAGTAAGATTCCAGAGGGAAATTGCAAAGCCGATAGTTTCTTTTATACACTCACAGGTTCCAAATTGCTGTGAGGAAGGCGAGGGAGGGTGTGCGGGAGCCCACCAGGTGCTGGTGCTCCCAGCCGCCCAGCCTCCTGCTCGCCCGGCCGCCTGGCTTTTCCCGTTCTCGCTCCGCTTCCTTCCCAGTGCCCTTAGTGTGTGCGTGAAGTCCGTTCCCTTTCAGGCCCCGTCCCGCCTCTTCCTCGGCTCCTGGAGGCTGAGAGGCTCGAAGAGGTCAGGCAGCTTCCCGGGTTCCTGTTGTGAGGGTGCCGCAGGCTAGAGGCCGCGCATGGACTGTGCCCAGCAGGCTCTGCTGCTGCTGTGGCAGCTCCTGTGGACGGTCCCCCCCAACCGTCCCCAGCACCCCAGCCTGCCGTGGGCCTCTGAGCACTTCCCTGGACACGGATCCACTTCCATGCAGCTGCTCACACACGGCTGTTTCCCGTGGTGTCACGGCGGGGCCTGGCCGCGGCGTGCTGTGCGGCGGCTTCCTCGGGAGCCTGCAGGAGGGGCCTTGGTGCCGTGGCCGTTGCTCCGCACACGGGGTCCTCCATGGAGGCTGTGCCAGGGAATCCCGTTCTTGCCCCGGGACCTGTGGGCACTTTGGAGAGAGCAACGTTTGTTTCATTTCCTCAATAAATTCACATTCGGGAGAAAAATGTGTCTTAGATTCTCCTTGACTCCTTCAGGGCGTCCACTTAGAAAGCAGTTTGCCGGTTCCATTCCGGTCAGGCACATCCAGTTTCTATCCCCGTCGGGGCATGTACAGAAGGCAACCAAGATACCCTTCTCTCTCTCCCTCCCACCCTCCCTCCCTTCCTTTCTCTCCGCTCCTTCTCCCTTCCTTTCTCTGAGCATGTCATTGGGGGAGGATTCAATAAATGAAAATGTACACACATGCAGATGTATGCCTAGTGCTTGTCAGTGGCTGTTAAAGTCTCAGGTCTCTGAGCTGTGTCTGAAAACAACACACTGTTTGCCCTCCGCGGGTTTTATCTTATACCACGTTCGCTCTGTCCTCTGGTAGGAGATGGGAGAGATTCAGAAATAGGGCTTCCCCTGTACATTTCATCGCTGTAAACCTGCGCTTCCCGACCGCTTCCCTTCCTGCTTGCCTCAGGGCCGTGTCCTCTGGCTGCTGGCAGGTGTCCTAGATGCTTCGCTCCTTCCCCTGGGCTGGGAGGATGAGGACCAGACGGAGGGCCAGGAGTCTGGACTCTGGGGCTGCCGTGTCCAGAGATTCGGGCGTTAGCATCACTCCTTCCCGAGAGCCGCGATGTCCTGTTTCCCACCCCGAACCGTCCGCCTCTGTCTCCAGGTGACCCTGCGGGCCCAGTGCCCACCTGCCCCTCGCAGATGCCTTTTGGTGACATTTCTGACAGGCGGCCCTGGCACCTCAAGCTTCCTTCCCAGGTCGTCATCCACACAGTCCCGGCCCCTAAGGAAGGCGGCGGTCTC